GGGGGGGGGGAGGGGGGTAGTGTTTATTGAATCTTGTTTCTTGATCTAAGAATCCGAGTTCAGAGAAACTTTATTCTTGTGAGTGTGTTTTCCTGAAAAGGTCCGACAGTAAGTCCTCGAGTGTAAGGCTGTAAGGTCCGAGAAGTGTTCGGTATTGTAGCAAGAATACGGTTTTGAAAAATAAAAGTTTTTAGAAATAGAATCATTTTTCCATAGGACTATCTCTTCTAACTTCGCTTCCACAGTTGCCGGTGATTTGGCAAGGAAGATAGTAAATAGTGAAGAAATTATTATAAAAGATTTTAATAAATCCATTAATAATTTGAAAATTCCAAAGAAAAACAAAGAAAAAACTCGTAAAACAACTTTCTTTAAAAGTGATTTTACAATGAAAACCGAAAAAGATATTGAAGAATGGAATCCACAGGAATCTGAAAAAATTCTTAGTCCAAAATGTTCTGAAAATCTACTAAGAAGAAAATTCTAGCACGTCTTAGATCATATTTGGAAGAAAGGATTACCCAGCTCTCTTCCGAGAATGACACACAACCAGTCAATCAATATCCTGGTAAAAAGGTTGGTGTTTTTTCCAATAAAATACCTGAGTTAATTAATCCTCCTAATGATATAAAAAAGTTAGAAAAAAATCTCAAAAACCTTCGGTTATAAACGGTTCAAAATCCTTTTGCATAACAAAATCCGTTATAGAAAAAGAGTTTACCGTTGATAGAAAATTCTTTCATGATGATTTTTACGTTGATTACAACTTAGAAAATAGATTATGTTTTTTCAAAAATTTCTTTCATAAGAGACAAATTATTCAAGAAAAATTTTATGCCCACGTTAATAAATACAAAATTTATATTCTATTTTTTGATTGGTTTAAGATATATTCTTTAAAAAATTCTAATGATTTCCCTTAAAAAAAATCGACAAGTCATGTTACTGCCAAATACAAAATGCATGAATGGGAAACTATTCATGATTCAAAAAAGGTTCAATCAAACCATCATCCTTACCAAGGAGTAAAACTTTCTGTTCAAAACAAATAGATAGAAGTTGTTGCACTTAGCAATCCCGCAGATTGTGATAAAAATCTCTGTGGTTTGGTTTCTCAAAAATAATTATACAAATACTCATTTAAATACTATTGGGAAACAATTAGATATGATTGAAAAGCATTTTCAAAATCAAACCATTGTTTCTATAAATTCTTCAAAACCCGTTGGCAAATATAAAAATCCTCTCTTTAAACCCTATCAAGTTTCAGAAAAATCTATTCAAGATATTAAAAATAATAAAGCCGAATTCGTAAAAACTCTTCAAGACCATTTTAGCAATTTATCTATTTCAAATAATTTAGTGGCTCCTGATTCTCCACAATCTCAACATGCTTCAACTAGTAAAATCCATACTCTTAGCCAAGACTCAGATATAGGCGAAGCCTTAGTTCAATTTCAGGCACCAACTCAACAAATTAATAAATTAACATGGGAACAACCTCTATCAATAGTTCCTTTTCCTGATTTAAATTCTACAAAAAGAAAGTCCACTCTCGTTTCAATGCTACTTCCATTTATGACTGGAATATTGATGGAAAATCAGAATATGAAATTATTAGTATTTTACAACAAATGACTATGGCTGCCAATGCTTATAAAACCCAAAGTGGCCTCCAAGATAGAGTCAGGGCCGAAATAATTATAGCAGGATTTTCCAGTCAAATTAAAGGATGGTGGGATTATTATCTTACTAGTCAGCAACAAGAAGAAATTCTTTATGATATTAAAACTCACGAAGATGATGTTCCCATATTTGATCCTGATGAAAATCCACAACAAGATGCAGTTGCTAGGTTAATCCTTACGATTTCATTACATTTCGTAGGAGATCCATCTCATTTAAAAGACAAAAATGTTGAGCTCCTTTCAAACCTTAGGTATCGAAAACTTAGTGGTTTTCTCAATTATAAAAATACCTTTCTCACAAGGGTAATGCTCAAAGAAGACTCTAGCCAGCCTTTTTGGAAAGAAAAATTCTTAGCAGGATTACCAAACCTACTAGGCAAAAAGGTTAGGAACCGTATTAGAGAAATATGCGGTAAACAAATGATTTCTTATGATGATATACCTACGGTCAACTTGTTAGTATAATTCAACAAGAAGGTGTAAAGATCTGTCAAGATTTAAAACTCCAAAAACATCTCAAATGGGAGATGAAAAAAACAAAATTAGAACTAGAAAATTTCTGCCAACAATTTGATATCGACCCAAACAAGCCTAATAATTGTTGTTCAAGAGGTTGTAGTTCTTCTACTAGAAAAAATAAAGAACCTTCTAAAAATTATTTTAAAAATCATAGATATAATCTTAAAATAGATTATTATAAGAAATCCAAAAAAATAAATCCTTACTCAAAACCTAAACAAAAACAAAATTCTAGTGATTGGTTTAAAAATGTTGAATGCTTCAAATGTCATAAGAAGGGACATACAGCCAATTATTGTAGACTTAACAAAAAATTACAAGAATTAAAACTTGAAGATGAAGTGATTAACAAAATCTCTAATCTTCTAGTTGAGTCATCAGATAATTCAAATTCCGACTCTAGTACAAATTCAGATTATTCCTTTAATAAAAAGGGATCCCCTCAAATAGATGATGAAATAGACTCATCTAGCTTCCACTCTAAGTCTGAGTCAGACAACCATATTGGCGTTCTAACCAAGGAACAAGATTTCCACCTTGAAATCATGAAGAACATTCATGACCCACACCTACAAAAAGAGTACGTTGACAGGTTGTTCGATAAGAAAGCTTGAAAAAATACGGAAACACCAAATACCTGTAAAAATACTTACGACTTAACAAATATATTAAACAAAGCAAAAAAGGGAAAAACTAAAAATACTACTATTAACGATTTGCAAAAGGAAATTAAAGAAATAAAATATGAATTAAAATATTTAAAGCAAAAGCACAGTCACGATATTGGATCCATAATACACCTTATTGATGGATTAAAAAATTCTCAGGAGTCTGAAGATTCTCAAAAGTCTGAAGAGTGTGAAGAGACTGATGAGTCTGAGGAAGAAAATGAACAGGGAAAAATTGAGTTAAACAACCTGCAAAACATCTCTGATAATTTCTTGTTTATTCTCAAAGAAATCGCTTCTCAAAAATACCTTATACAGATTACTTTACAGTTCCCTGAAAATTTCAAAATAAATACCGTAGCACTTTTTGATACTGGTGCATATTTAAATTGTACTAAAAACAGTATTATACCCCAAAAGATTTCAAGAAGAAACAACAGGAAGTCTTTCTACAGCAAATAATTCTAAAATGGATATTTGTTCAAAAACCGAAGCCATTATTGTAAATAATGGTACTTCGCTAAAAACATCTTTTCTTCTTGTAAAGGATATAACCCACATAGTCATTTTAGGTACTCCTTTTATAAATTTAATCACCCCTTATCTGTGGGAACAAATTCTTTTTCTTTCAAAACTAATAATAAAAAATTATATTTTGATTTTCTTGAAAAACCAAAAATTTAAAATTTGAATTTAATCAAAGCTTATTCTATTCACACTATAAATAGTCTTACATTGACAAAAGATCTTGTTGAAAAACAACATTCTCACAAAACATTTCCCAAATTACAAATTCCTTCTAACCTTCCAAATACTTGGGAAGAAAATAATTATATTATCCGTCTTCCTTATAGTATATAATCAAAATTTTTGGAAAAACCTTTTTACCAAACCAAAATAACTACTTTTCAAAACAACTTTGAGTACTATTTTATGTTCTTACGTTTATTCTTTTCAAAAAACCATATACAGATACTAAGACATCTTCCTGTCTGACGAAAAATATGATAAACCTCACAAACCAAAATATTGAAGCATAAACGTCCAAAACCCTCACCTCAAACACGCCTTGACCCAGTTCGTTTATTCTTCTACCCCCACCAACAACTTTCAATTCTTCCACATGATATAAGAAAAATAATTTTCCAAAAAGCCAAAGAAAAATTCGAGAAAAAAGAAGATAAAATACATGTATTTTTTACAGAAAAGGCAAAGAAAAAAGAAGTGACAAATGGCCTAGGAATTTGTGACACATATCATTACGACCAACAGGTGAAGTGCAAAGGAGACTGTATAATCCCCTATTGTGAATGCTCTCTTGATTACAAAATTCCTACAGTTACAGGCGACCTTGAACTGTATATGAAATATTATCCTCGTGACATCACACATTCAGAAGAAGTGATAACAGTACAAACACTTCTGGACTTCGGCCTTATTGAATCTATACAATTTCGTACTGACCAGAACGTGATCCAAAGAAGTAACTTGGGAAAAAAGCTGAAAGAAGTATTTCACACATATCTATCAAAGTAAGAGGATGAACATCACTCAGGCGAAATTTGGATTTATGCATACATAGACTCTGTTGACATGGTTTTCGGTAAACCAACTTATTGAAGGCTGTTTGTTTAAATCTACGAATAAGTCAAAGATTTCAAGTACTATCACGTCGGTGAACCGCGTTAAAGGAACCGATGTTATCTCTCACCGAATAGATGATTAGATAGCCGATCTTTTCCCTTTAACCGACGTCTCCCACCAGTCAAGACTTAAGCTAATCGACGTCCATGAAACATGGTTATCGGTATAAGTCAAGAGGCGGTGACAGCTCAGCCCGTCATCATGACTGTTATCCAGGTGGCAAACAACAAATCCAAGTGGCAGATGACCACCTTTGACTTCGCCTCCGCATTAAATGCGATCACACCAACCTCGTACGGTGGACCACCGTCCTATAAATAGCGAGTTGGGCTCTCCAAAAAGGGAGAGAATTTTCGGATATCGACTCTAATGAATTCGATAAATAATCCTGATAAACATCCAATAAATTCCGACGTCGTTTACACTTGAAACCGACGTCTTCTTTGATCATTATATGCTTTCCATTTAAGTTACTTTCACATATTACCGTTGTTAATCGTCGTATAACAACAGTTTGGCGCTAGAGGAAGGGGGGCCTCATAGTTGTTTGAGGTTAATCTTCGCTTTCATAACCATAACTCGCGTATATCTAACAGTTGAGCGTTCCACCATTTGTCAAAATGTCTCAATCTGCACGAGACCGCACTTCACATGCTGGACAAAGCCATACTACTAATCATTCCGCTGGGCATGCAACGCAAGCGGCTCCCGCAACAAATATTACAAATTTTCTTCAAGACCCAGAGTTCATACAAGGCTTGACATCTCTTATAGCGCGAGCAGTGCCCAGGACATCGAACACCACGTAGTTGCAAACACCTTTGCCGGTAATCCAACGGCGCAATCGAATTACCTTATTCATAATCAAACAACCCATGCGACAGCATCACATGCTACTCCGCGTCGAACTTCTCAACATCGTGAAGAACCAACTCGACCAACAGAAAATCCACCGCCCAATAATCTAGACGTTGGTGTGGCCCATGATCATGAAATGACCGCTGAAAGCCATTTTGCTCATCATCACAGAACTCCTATGCCCCCAAGGCCTTCATCTCCTTTACATGGAGACCGTGAAGATTTGCGCCGTCGAATCGATCAGAATCGTATGTTACGACAAGGTTCGGAAGAACTGGAAGCTTTACGCAAACGCTTAGCTGAGCTGGAAACTAGACAAAAGTTGCAGGAAGAATCTCCACGACACATCTCGAGCTCGGAAAACGTAACCATTGAAGCTGATTCTCCTTTAGCACCCGAGCTTACGGTGGAAACTCTCCCCGCCAAAATAAAGATTCCACAAATTGGCATGTATGATGGGACTTCGGATCCCGATGCACATTTGGGACATTACACATCCTGGATGGACTTACATGGTGCCTCCGACGCTTTGCGATGTCGTATGTTTTCGCTTACACTGGGGCCGCGAGCTTAGAAGTGGTACTACACCTTACCACCACATTCGATATGGAAGTGGCAACAACTACAGATGGCTTTTCGGTCGCACTTCATCGGTGCTCAAGTTTGTCTCATCCCTAAGGAATCAATTACCAACATTGTGTAGAAAGACAATGAAAGTGTTAAAGATTATGTGTCCCGGTTTAACGAACGCATCCAGAACATGAAACCCTGTCACCCTGAGACTTTATTGGTTACTGCAATAGCCGGATTAAAGCCGAACTCGGTATTTCGGTGGACTCTCTGCCAAAACAAACCGACTACGTTCCAAGAATTTCTCGTGCGTGCCCAACAGTTCATCATTGCAGAGGAGTCGATGTCGGTTCCCAACTTTGACTTTTCCATCAAGGAAGATAAGATGAAACCCGAAGCTAAGAAAAAGAATAAGAAGACCTTCAGGAAAGCTCAATTCTGAAATTATGCAAAAGGCAACGCAGGCACTTCGAATTCTAGAGCTGCACGAGATCAATATGCCGACAACGTGAGAACGGGCTACCAGACTGTCTATTCAGTAGGAGCGACCACTATCTTTGAAGAACTAAAAAGGAAAAGGAATTATTCCTGACCCAAAACCTGTAAGAACTCCAGAAGAAAAGCTTGACAAGACTTGCTATTGTGCATATCATAAGTCTCTGGGACACAACACCGACGAGTGCCTCGGTTGACTGTCGGCTCTCCTTTGCCTGATTGGACAACCCCAACTTCAAAATTTCAGGAACTTTGATGCCCGACGCAAAGGAAGACCTATGGATATCTCAGATGAAGAAGATAATGATGACCGAAGTGCCAATACAAAGAGGATTCATATGACCAACAAAGAAGTCTTCACCTTTTCGGACATCGTCGGAACTTCGACCGTTGAGAGCAAAAGAGCAAAAACATGTACTTCGATGAGGTCTCCTTATTGCAATCTCATACCTCGGGTGAATACTAATACCAAGCAGCTTGACATTTCCCGACGTAAAGCTAAAGCCTACGCCCGTGAAGCACAGAACGCCAGGAAACAAGTATTAAATGTTGATCTTCGAGATACTATCAACAATCAGAATTGCCCCATTACCTTTAACATAGAAGACGCTAATTTATTTGCTTATCCACATTCGGACGCTCTTATCATCACTGCTCCGATTGGAGGAATCCTTGTTCATCGGATTATGGTTGACACCGGGGCCT